CACTTGAGATAAAGGTTGATTACACATTTATATACATGTTGGATATCGTTGATTGTTTCGATTACACTTGAGATAAAGGTTGATTACACATTTATATACATGTTGGATATCGTTGATGAGCAACGCTCAGTACTACGTGGAGTAGTACGTCGATATACCGCTAGTACAGGCCATTGAATCGGGTTTAGGATGTTTTATCTAGCAGTCCGTCCTGCACTAGGGTGCGATGAGGCTTGTGAGCCATATTTCTAGGATGCCTACTTGATAGTCCGTCCCGCACTTGTGTTACATACAGAGATACAATGAGACTAATGAGTCGTGTACACTGTTAGGATGCTGACCGGGTAGTACGTCCTGCATGATGATGCGATGAATCAGAATCTTGCAAGGATTCATATTAAGACGATTGTTGATAGCCTGAGTCTTTGGCGGATGCCAATTATGTATATGACTCATTGCTGAGTTATATGACCGAGGGACTTTGCCCTTGAAAATACGAGGGGTTATATGCTAATATTTATCTTATCTTCTCAGTGATAGTGGAAAATATTATAAATATGATATTATGAATGTCTTTACTTTCTGTATTGCTTTATTTTATTCTTAGGTTAGGGTCAATGATTAGAGATTCATAATTTGAGACATATGATATATACATGAGGGTTTCCTTGTTTGGATTATTTCACTCGATGTACCAGTCTCATGTTATGGGTTTCTAATTATTTATTTCATTTAGATTGTTTTTCTCTAGTTCGATGTTAATGTTTAGGCGTCTATAATTTGAGATATATTGTATATACATAAGGGTTTTATTGTTTGTATTATTTCGCTCGACGTACTATGTCTCGTTTTGTAGGTGTCTAAATATTAACTCCATTAGATACGGGGAAAATGATTTAGGTAGACTATGCTTAATAGATAGAAACTCTACTTCATCTAGAAGTCTCTCCCCTTAGGGCTGATGGAAGTTATCTTGCTGTAGTGCTCTGATGCTCTTATTGTTATTCTTTTTGTTTTAAATTTTTTCCAGACAGCTCAAAGTTTCGGAGAGCCGTAGGTTGACGGAGTTCTTGCATAGTTGTCGTCGCATGAGTTATCAGTAGAGGCTCCACAATAGATTTATGTTTCCATTCAGTTATTTAAGTTATATTTCTTTTTGTAAAGGCTATGAGCCTTAGTTACACTTCCAATTGATTCATGTCAAGATATTTTACATTATTTCAGAGTTCAGGTATTTATAGTTTTATTCATTTGAGACATGGTTTTATTTATGTGATTTATCCTTCTATACCATGTCTATTGTAGTTATTTACCTTATTTTGCCTGTTTTGTTTATACACTTCTTTTTTATTCTACTAAAGGATATTACTATGATTGGTGAAACGTATTATTGTACAGTATGGGTACATGAAAGATTTGACATCTCTAGATTCACCTTGGACTGCAGCCATGTGTGAAAACAGGGGCGTCATATTTGGGTCCATGATTATGATGAAGGGTGTTAGAAAAAAGAATTTGTACTATTTGATTGGGAGCACGGTGATTGGTGGAGAGCTGACGACTTCTTTGAATTTAGCTAGACTGTGACCTTTGTTGATGCTGTGATATTTGATTATTGATGCCGTGTATGGATTGTTGAGGAGTGCTTTGACCTACAGATTAAAATCCTGTGAGTATATTGGTATGAGCAAGAAGACCGAGGCGGAGTTTGACACTTCTATTCACCGAGTGAGAGTCTTCTAGGTGGTATTCATTCAGGCATTTTGGGGCCTTCCAAGGAGACATCATTGGGAGGTAATAGGTATTTAGTTTCTCTTGTTGGTGACTATTCTAGGTATTTATGGGTTGCAACCAAGTCTCGTTGGTGTGAAGTCCTAGTAGTCAATAATAGGTGGAAGAAGTATATTGGCAGAAAGGTAGTACGTCGTTATGATTTTGGTAGGGGTTCTTTTTTGTATTTGTGTCGAGCTCACGACAGTTTGAGATACTTTATTGGAGAGAAAACATTGGGGCAACGAGATGAGGTGGTAAATTCGATGAGTCGTTCCTTACTAGAGGAGGATCAGTGTTTGCTGTCGAACATTAGTTTGCAGAGGATTTCTGGTGTTGATGCTTTGACATATTGGAGCCATCTTATTCATAGGTTGCCGACATTAGTTTGCACGGTGATTGGTGGAGAGCTGCAATTAGTTTGCAGAGGATTTCTGGTGTTGATGCTTTGACATATAGGATTTCTGGTGTTGATGCTTTGACATATAGGATTTCTGGTGTTGATGCTTTGACATTAGTTTGCACGGTGATTGGTGGAGAGCTGCAATTAGGTTGCCGACATTAGTTTGCAGAGGATTTCTGGTGTTGATGCTTTGACATATAGGATTTCTGGTGTTGATGCTTTGACATTAGTTTGCACGGTGATTGGTGGAGAGCTGCAATTAGAGTATTTAGATCTTGTGGAGTTGCTTCAGATTTTGGGTTGTTTCGGATATTTGGTTGCCCAGCATATAGTCACATCGAGGATGTAAGATTTAATCTGAGTGCATATTTGGGATTCAGAGTCATGTTTGGTTATCAATTGTTGGACTCTGATTTTATTCTGATCAGGTATGTTACATTTGACTCTCGACAGGTGGAGAGTGTTGATCATATCATTGGGATATCCCAGTGGGTGAAGAGTGATGCTACTCTACGTAGGATGGAGATTACTCCACATTCTCTAGATTATTCTGTATCGTTTGGGATTCCAGCTGAGGTGACACAGATTGGGGATCATGTTGATTTGGATACAGATGATGAGTTTGTTGATTCGAGTACAGCTGGTGGACATAGTTCGGATTTGTCTATGGCTGTTGGTTCACCTCAGGTGGAGGTGTTTGGTTCGTTTTATTTTGAGGCCATTGTGAAAGTTATCACCTGTAGATTTGTTGATGATGTTGGAGAAAGATTGAAATCTCTTCTCATTGATTGAGGGCCTTTGGAGGCCATTGGGTGAACTACGTGAGGCTTGATTCATTGGGCAAGAGGATACGTAGACAGTTAGTTATGATACAACCGGTGTGGTGAGTTGATACTGACATTTGGAGTTTGTTCGCATTCTTATTTGGGTTCTTGACTTGTTATGGATTGAGTCCGTTATCGTGATTTGTTTCACTTCATACTGGACGTAACAAGTGAGACATTTGGTTTGGTTAGTGTCGGCTCAGTTTTGGAAAAACTTCGTTGAGGTGGAGAATTATAGAATTGGTGAAAACATTGGAGAACATCAGGAAAAATGGAGGTGACAGGCATTCGGGTGCTTTCCGGTCGACCTTGAGCTTTAGCACGGTCGACCGACAACGTGCACGACTTAGTACAGATTCTGGATTTTTGGCCGGTCGACCGTGACATTTTGATGGTCAATTGCCAAACCTTGTAATCGATTTTGGGTTTAGTCGTTTTCTATGATCGACCGTGACATTTTTGGCGGTCGACCGCCAGTCGGGTTTGGGTCTGATTGCGATTTTCTGTTCTGTTTAGGATTGTTGTTTGATATAAATAGCAACCACGTTTTAGGGTTTCTAGGTGAGTAGTTTTGGGGATATTTGGAGCACAGAAAAGAGTCTTTCTGGAGCTATTTGGTTAGTGTTTTGTTTGAGAGATTGAGAGGTTTGTTGGTGAGATTAATTGGTGAGTTTTTGTGTGGTTTTGTAATCTCAGTTTGTACTCTCATTCTCTATTAGTGAAAACTCATCTCTCCTTGCCCCGTGGACGTAGGAAATTTACCGAACCACATAAAATTCGCCTGTTTGTGTTCTTGCCGTTATTTTTGGATTGTTTGGCCTTCTCTCTCGGCGTTTGGTTTGATTCCTCGAAGCACAACACCCAGCCCCCACTCTTGACTACTCGAATATACTTCCCTTTATCCCCTCTTTTTCCTTCTCGAGACGATTTAAGAGTAGTACCCGCATAGTTTTCAGCCTATATATCTGTCATTTGTTGCTTTGTGTTGGGTGTTTAACAACGAATGAACCAATTGAGCCCAACTGCACTAATTTGGTATGGTTCAGATAGTGGTCCGGTTCGGTTTTGGTTGGACTTAAAAGTTGGTAGCCACCTACTGAACTGATCGTTTGCTTACCCTAAAATTTTATTTGTTTTGTTTATAATACCATCTAAGTTCGGGGGGTTTTGTGAAATTAACGCCTTCTCTTGTGCTGGTTATTTTACCTACTTACTTTGATTTTGCATCATACGCTGAGAGGAGATTAAACTAATGACCTGTTTGGATGGAGGGTAGAGAGGGGGAAAGGAAGGAAAATTTTATTTTAACCTTGTTTAGGAGTTTCATTTTGGAGGGTAGAGAAGAGGAATATAGGAAAAATTTGACCCAAATTCTTACACCCCAAATTGGGGTGTAATGGAGGGGAAGGGAAGGAAGAAGAATTTTCCCCCTTCCTTTTCCTTTCTTCCCTTCCCTAATGACTTGTTTGGATTGCGGGAAATAAGGGAGAAGGAAAGTTAGGGGAAACATTCACCTTGTTTGGGAACATTTAGAAGGTGAAGTTATTCACCCTAGTTCCCCTTAGTTTACCCCTTAATAGTATAAATTTTGTTACCCCCCAAATTGGGGTGTAACCAAGGTGAAGGAAACTTCCTTCCATTTCTTTCTGTTCTCTCACATAGTTTCTCTTAACTTCCCTTAACTCTATTGAAATCCAAACACGTCCTAAGTAAACTCCCAAACACGCCATAGTCGAAAATAACATGAGCGGTGGTGAGTTTGCAAACATCAACTGGGATGACCTTGGATTTCGTGCCATTCCGACTGACTATACGTCTGTAATGAAATGCTCTCTGGGCGACAAATTTATATACGGTAGCCTCAATCCTTACGGCAATATCGAGCTAAGCCCAGCGGCTGGAATACTAAATTATGGACAGGTTCATATTCTGAGAAAAAGTTCACACCATCAAAATTTTCAGGGGGGTTTACAAGATTAAAAAAATCCCAACAGTGTAATACACTTTCTCATCCTCCTACCATACAAATAGATATTTGGAACCAAGTTCCTCCCCTGTTTATTTGCTACCTCTCTCGCTGTCCCCATCTCCCCCCTCCCCGTCCCCCTCTCATTATAAATAGATACTTAAAACCAAGTTCCTCCCCTGTTCATTTGCGCTCCACCCCCTGAAAATAAATAAAAAGTTTTCTGGGTTGCCGGCAGCAGTTATGGTTATGAGGCGTGCTGTTGGCAGCTCAAGTTTGATGAGTAAGTTGCTCAATCACTCTGCGAGAAGCTCCAGAGGGCTGAACTCAAGTGTGAGTCTCCGAGCTCCAATTTTAATTTCATCATGTTTTAATATTATTAGCAAAGGAGAATTTTTTTTATATATCTTGTAAATGTAATAATGGTTGTTCTGTGCTTTTGTTGTAGCTTGGGGTTTGCTCTTCGTTTGCATCATACTCTGCAATAGATTCAGAAAGGTGAGAAGGATTGATTCTACAATTGTAGGGTCGATCCCACAAAACCCTTGAAAGCTGGCGGTTTTTACGCATAAATTTCAGAATTTTTTTTTAATCTCACGTAATTCCCTGAACTTTTGAGGAAGAGGAAAAGAAAAGGAAGAAAAAAAGATTTGGAGTACCAATGGCACATTTCGTTAATAATTTCTGAAATAATTGCTCTTACTGGCTCCGTCTAATTTAATGTTATTTAGTGCCAAAAAATAAGAGGTAATAGGCTGCTTTGCATATTTCATAAGCTTTCGATTTGTCCCCATCGAGCAAACAAGTACATCATTAAATGAGTTTTGGATTTGCATCTCCAACAGCTTTCCTATTTTATTGGTATTCTTATTTTTAAAAAAATTTAGGTTTTTTGGTCCAACATATTCCCCATCTTATTCTCCAAAATAAGGATGAAGGAGAAAAAAAAGGGAGTCTTCCCCAAATCTATAACATTCTTTAAAATTTTAAGGAAAATTTTGTCATAAATGTTTCATATTCTTTAAGTCTCCAACTACTCAAAAAAAAAAAAAAAACGACTCAACACGGGGCAAAAAACAAAAAATTCTTGTCTAAATATTTATCGTTAAAGTTAATGTCAAAGATATATGTAGAAATTTTTTATTATTGTAATAAATGTAGGATTCTTTAAAATGAGAAAACTGTTAGAGTTGGAGCAAAAATAATTTAAAGAATATGACTATTGTTTACTCATTTTAGAGAAATTTTTGAGGAAGTTGTTGGAGATACTCTAAGCAACTGAAGGAGGGTCAAAACACCAGAAAAAGGAAAGTTGAGAAATAACTTGTCAAAGCAACCGGAAGCGAAATTATGAGTTGGATACAAACTGGTGTTGAGAAATACCCCGCCGAATTTTTTTTTTGCCGATGCTTGGTGGCCATGGCTGAGGATTTGTCCTTGTAATCGTTTGAAGATGTTGGTAAGGTTTTATGGACGAGTTTTCCGCCATGGCCAAATAATAGAATCTATGGGAGTGAGAAAGGAATAGTAGTGAGTTTAACATTATTAACCTTCAAATAATAATTAAATAAAAGTCTACTTTTGTAGCGGTTTGGTGTCGGTTGGCCTCTAGGTGTGGATTTGTTAGTGCAGGACATCTATGCGTTGGTAACTATACCTCCTCCTCTCCCACGTGACCACGTGAGATGTTGTTTGTTCCAAATTGGCAAGCGGGCCCATGTGCACACACCCCCGTGACATTTTGTTTCCAAATTTGCTGACCCAGGACAGCACCCACGTGATCTCCCAGTTCATGCAAGCTGTAAGCCGCTTATTAAAATTTTTCATGTAGAAAATTAAGAAATAGCGAGCCCACTCAACTTCGTCCCCTGGCCGGCCGCACAGTGCACGGGCCCACTTTAGATTTTTTTAAAAAATCTAAAGTGGGCCCGTGTACTGTAGATGTAAGGGGGTTGTGTCCCATAGTGTGGTGGAGAGGGTGACCGTAGTATTTTTTTTTTGATGGAGAAAATAAAGACATGGTGGGCCCACTCAACTTCGTCCCCAGCCCCCACTCTTGAGATACTCCCCCGGGTCTTTCTCCTTGCTCCGAGACGATTTAGAGAAATAAAGACATGGTGGGCGCGCACTCAACTTCGTCGCGCCAGTCCGCCGCCCCCGGCTCTTTTTCTTCGGATGAAAATACAAGACATGTAGGCCACTCAACTTCGTCCCCAGCCCCACCCTTGACATACTCGAATATACCCCCCCCCCCCCCCCGATTTCCCTCTCGAGACGATTTTAAAAGTTAGGACCCGGTAGCTTTTCAGCCTTCGTATCTGTCATTTGTTGCTTTGTGTTGGGTGTGCTTAACAACGGGCGAATCAGTTGAGCCCAACTGCAATAATTTGGGATGGTTCAGATGGTGGTCCGGTTCGGTTTTGGTTGAACTTAGGGGGTGTTTGTTTAGTTGTAAGTGAGTTGAAAGTATGAAAGTGACTTTTTTTTGTAAGTGGGTTAACGCATCCAAGTCAGCATACAAGTCACATTCATTGTTTGTTTACAAAAACTAGTTATTGTTGAAAGTAGTAAAATGAGGATGATGTGGCAACATTATTTTAATTTAATTATATATTAAAAATCATGTTTTTATATAAATTGCTTCTCATCTCCATTTATCAATTTGAACAATATCCAGGGCCGACATCATTTTGAACAAAAGCAGGATAACTTACTTTTACTCGTTGTTCTGAGGCCGGCTTAGCCTTTTTCAGCTTTGTTATAATCATGTTCTTCCTTCTTATGATTTCTTCCAACTCTGAAATTCTCTATTATGACGAAGAAATAAAAAAACATGCTAAGAAAATGATCTACTGTAGGCAAATTATTTAGAAAAAAAAGAAAAACATAACAAGCACCTTGGAGTGAGCAATGCTGGATTCATGAGCTTCAGTAGTTAGCTTGTCTATTATTGCATCCTTCTGTTGGCATTCCTTCTGAAGATTATAAATATTTTGCTCTTCTGCCAATGTGCTCCGCAGCTAAGATCATGAACCCAGCATTTATTCACTTGCGTTATGAAATTTTTTTAATGTGACGTGGGTCCCATTTATTCACTTGCGTCTCACTTCGGCGAATTTTTAGCGGAAGTTGAACTTGCAATTTGATCCTAGGTGGACAATTTTTTGAGGTGACTTTCATAATCACTTTCAACTAAACAAACAAGTTAAATCTAAAAAATAAGTGACTTTCATACTTACATTTTTCACTTACAACTAAACAAACACCCCCTTAAAGTTGCTAACCACCGACTGAACTGATTGTTTGCTCATCCCGAAGCCCCCTTTGAAAAAGGGTTAACGGAGAAGGGTTAAAGAGAATGATTAATGTACTTAGCTCATTCGATAATCTGAATGACTAAATTATTAACCCGTTAAATAAGTTTTTATTTTAGTCATTGTGATCACTTTTAGTGTTTGGGAATAACAATGATTTTGATTATTTTCTTTATGATTAGAAGGGTTAACTCTTAATCCTTTTAGATAGGAGTATTAATAAACCCCTCATTTTGAGGGATTAACGCCTTCTCTTGTGCTGGTTATTTTGCCTGCTTCCTTTGATTTTGCACCATATGCTGAGAGGAGATTAAACTAAAGGAAAATAACAGGAGCGATGGCGAGTTTGCAAACATCAACTGGGATGACCTTGGATTTCGTGCCATTCCGACTGACTATACGTATGTAATGAAATGCTCTCTGGGCGACAAATTTACATACGGTAGCCTCAATCCTTACGGCAATATCGAGCTAAGCCCAGCGGCTGGAATACTAAATTATGGACAGGTTCATATTCTGAGTAAAAGTTCACAGCATCAAAAATTTAAGATATGTATGCATACAATAAGAACTCATGTTTTTTATGTTTTTTTTTGGGTTTAGGGTGTATTTGAAGGTTTAAAAGCTTACAGAAGAAGCGACGACCAGGGATTCTTGCTTTTTCGGCCTGAGGAGAATGCAGTCAGAATGCAAATGGGTGCTGAGAGGATGTGCATGCCATCCCCCAATGTGAACCAGTTCGTTCATGCTGTGAAGCAGACCGTGTTAGCCAATAAGAGATGGGTTTGTGCTCGATCAATCAAATGTTTTACGCTATGATTAGTCTGTTTTGTCCTCTGTCGTGTCAGTCAGTAAGCCTTTGATTGATCAAATAATGCTCATTTCTACAAGCTTACACCCAGACATACCTGGATGTTACAATAACATAGGCCAAATACGAAACCTCAACAAAAACAGAGCATCAACTCTGCGGCTAAATAAATTACGACTCCTTACTGGGGGATCTAAACTTAACAGACCTGCATCAGCACTCAGCAACGGAGGAACAGTACTGCATACCCAAGCTTACAATCGTATAAAGAGACAATAATCCAATGCTGAAATGCGTAGGAGCAGTAGAATGATAAATGGAGGTGAGGACAGCCACTTTCATTAGTTTGATAGCAGGCGCAACATCTCTTTTATTAGAGTTTTTGTGAAATCTTAAGCTCCATTCCTGCCAGATTCGAACTCCAAAAAGAGAACATTTAAGGAGTTGAAGTCTACCAGCATCCGATAGCTTCTTAGCATCCCAACTTGAATCTTCATGGTAATATTAGATGTAAGAGTTCTACAATCCATTACAGATAGCCTCCTACAAGGCGTTGGAAGCCCCGAAAGTTTGACTGGAAGAGTTCCGACAACATATCCCATGTAGAGCCCCATTGAAGAATAGAGTGAATCTAGGCCCCGAGACACATGTCATAATCCATTCTACGTACCATTTATAAAGGAAAACCAAATCCTACTAACATGCTCCTCAAGAAGTTTTAATGCGAGATATCAAAAGCTCCTCTAATGTCAATATTGGTCCTGCATCTGGGAGATGTGTGCTTTCCGCTATAGTATTTGATCAATTCATGATCGGCCTTGTATTGCTCTTTTCCTCTTATATATATATGTTTTTTTGGGCATCTTGCCCGAGTTACTAACAAAATAGTATAATAATATTCTTTAAACAGATACCACCTCAAGGGAAGGGATCCCTATATATTAGGCCCATGCTCATGGGAAGCGGGCCTGCACTTGGCGTGGCACCGGCGCCGGAATTTACATTTCTAGTTTATGCTGCACCAGTGGGAACATATTTTAAGGCAAGATTTCTCTATTATGAACTTAGATAGAAACTTTTTCGGATTTGTTGTTTTGAAAAAATATTATGGTTCATGCTTTGTGCAGGATGGTTTCGCACCAATAAACTTACTTGTGCAAGATGAAATTCACCGTGCAACTCCTGGAGGGACAGGTGGTGTGAAAGCCATCATTAATTATGCAGCGGTAATTAATTATTTATACTTATATGTGACTTCATTACTAAGGTTATTCTAATTCACGGACGTAGTGGATATATAGCAAAGAATATTAGCAAAAACTATTTGTTATGTTGTAGGTTTTGAAGGCACAAATGATAGCAAAGAATAGAGGGTTCAATGATGCATTGTACATTGATTCACTGAACAAGAAGTACTTAGAGGAGGCTTCTTCTTCAAACATATTTATTGTGAAGGTATTATTGATCTTGTTCATAATTTTTGAAACAAACGTTGCTATATATAACAATTGTTACGATAATATCTCTTAACCACTATATTAAATGATACTCTCCATTTTTTTATTAGACTATATGCTTTTATATTGCTAAACGAATTTTTCTAAGCATAGAACATAGCCCGTCAATATCAAAAACTTTGACACCTCGATTACCATCTTAACATAATATCATCGAGCTATGTTTTGACACCTCGAATACCATCTTAACATAATATCATCGAGCTATGTTGGCGTCTCATCTGCTGAGGGGAGAAAACTTTCTATTGTATTGTAGCAAAATTTGATATACTATGAGGAACTTGTGCGCGGCGGAAAACTAACACAAACGCCGAGAGAGAAAGCCAAAACAATCCAAAATAACGGCACCAACTCAAACACAAAGTTTAACGTAGTTCGACAAATTGCCTACGTCCACGGCGCAAGAAGGGATGGGTTTCCACTATAGAGAAAGAAAGTACAAAGTAGAGATTACAAGATCACTCAAACTAACCTCTCAAACAAATCTCTCCAAACTCACAAATTAAACATTCAAACAATTGCTCAGAAAAACTCTCCTTTTTCTGTGCTCAAAATCACCTTCAAGCTACCCCAAAATCCAATTCTGGCAATTAGAACAATAGAAAATCCTAAACAAAACGTATTTTTATTTATATCAAATACAAAACTCAATCAGAACAGGAAACCAAGCCCAGGCTCAAAACCGCATCGCGGTCGACCGCCGTGCCAGTCGTGGTCGACCGACCAGAAAGACAGAAATACAAAATGCACTATAGGGTCTCGCGATCGACCGCCGCGCCACTCGCGGTCGACCGACCAGAAAGACAGAAATACAAAATGCACTATAGGGTCTCGCGGTCGACTGCCGCGCCACTCGCGGTCGACCGCAAAAAGTCCAGAGACTTTTCCAACTCGCGGTCGACTGCCGCGCCACTCGCGGTCGACCGCAAAAAGTCCAGAGACTTTTCCAAGCTAAGTGCACGTTCGTGGTCGACCGCACATGTCGTCGCGGTCGACCGGCCCGACCTCAAATCTGCCCTTTGCTGTTTCCTGAACTTCGCTGTTTCCTCTTCAGAACTTTATTGCTTTTTCTATAAATATGTGAAACTGTAGTCGATCATATAGAATTCAACATAGCATGCCTGGACATAAAAATGGTAAGTCCGTCACATCCTGTGATTGCTTGAATTATCACTTTAGAATCTCCCTCCAACATATTTATTGCCTTGATTGTGCTTCCATCTCAATCCCTTACAACAAAAGCAGCTGCCACATAACCTTATTAAGCATCAACCGAATCATCAAATTTTTTTTTTACCATCCCTCATCTGACGTTCCAATATAAAAACATTATGATTACATGAAACAGGTTTTCCTAATATCAATGTCTATCAATGAATCAAAACCTCATTTGCATCATGAAGTGTAGAGCCGATCTCTCATATTCCATTTCTTTGCGGTTGGACTTTCGACCTGCATGGCTACAGGAGTTAGCAACTAACTTCTTTATACTTTTACTTGAGAATTTGTTTTGTTTCCTATTTCATATTTTATTCACTGATGGGCCTTTCTGTCGTGGGATCAAAATCGTCTCCTTTTGACGTGTCAAACAAAGAAACATTTACAGAAGAAAGATAGAACTTTTACTTGAGAATTTGTTTTGTTTCCTATTTCATATTTTATTCACTGATGGGCCTTTCTGTCGTGGGATCAAAATCGTCTCCTTTTGACGTGTCAAACAAAGAAACATTTACAGAAGAAAGATAGAAAGTTTATTGAATAAAGCTATTTTTACATGGTTTTAGCTAAACGCCCGATATTTTGTTTTGTTGGGGGGGGGGGGGGATGAAATTGGGGTGGGTAGGTACATGCTTCAATTTGTTGAATGTAATTTTTTCCTCTTGTTCTTTTGAGAGAAGAAGGGAATAGCATGCAAAGGCTGGACGATCGCTGAGAGAGACTACTGGGTAGTAGTTTAAGCAAAGTAATAGGTTAGTTATGGAAATAGCCTCGGAAGGTTATTTATGGGCTTCATGCTCCAGGCCCATGAGCCCGTTGGTACGATGTAAGTCCTGAGATTCACAGAATGCAACATGTGGTTTGACTCAATCCATTGCCAAATTGACTAGATAATGTTGCGCTTGGCTCTCAAGAACATCATTTAAACTATTCAATCACCCAATCAATGTTTGATGTCAATGTCCGATGTGAGACATGACAGTTGATCTGTTAGTATCGTCAGGTGATGTGGACTCTAGAGATGGCTCCTACGGGCTCTAGTGATGGCTCCCACAGTGCTCACGTGATATAACACTTTGCTCTGTATAGCACTTAGTTCCACATTTCCGGCTCTGATTCCATGTATCACGCGCTAGACCCACAAGCCCATTGGCACGATATAAGCCGTGGGAGCCACGAGTGCAACATGTAGTTTGGCTCAATCCACTATTAAAAATGGCTAGCTAATGTTACACTTGGCTCTCAAGGTCCATCATTTAAACCATTCAATCACTCAATCAAATATCTGATGTGGGACTAAATCTTGGGAGGTATCACACAGTCAAAGCATCCCTCAATATCATATGTATTTTATTTAGAGAAACTTGTCTCTATCCCCTCAAAATTAGAAAGTCATGCTTTTACTCTCTTGGACTTTTTTGTCATGTTTCCCTATCCCTTGACCCAACTAGGGATGCATTACCCAGGTCCTAAGGGGCTCCCTCCCCCCCCACACACTCGCATAATATTTGCATATTTGTAGACGTGAGTGGGGTCCACACCCACGTGTGTGGCTGAGACAGCCAGCAGGAGTTTTTCTTTAAGCAGGCCGGATTTTTTGCTTTTGGGTCTGCTTTTGGTTTTGTTCTTTGATTATAAATAGGAACGAACGTGGTTTCTAGGGTTTCTAAAGAAGGGGAACAGCGGCTTAGAAAAAAGACTGCAGAAGGTTTTTAGCCGGCTGGTAAGGAGAAAAACAGAGGGTTTTTTTTAGAGAAAAAAAAGAGAGTTTTTTTTTTAGATCTAGAAAAGAGAGATCTTGAGGAGAGAAAAAGAGGGATTTACAAAAGAGAAGTTAATTTCTTTTGGGTAAAAATTAGATCTTTTTTTTTTGAGACGAGCTTGTGGGTTGTACAAGTCGTCGGTGTTCTTCTCATAATGGAATCTCCCCTTACCCTTCCTGTGGACGTAGGTAAGTTTGCCGAACCACGTAAATCTCGTGTATTTACTGTTTTCTGGATTGTTGGCTATTGCTTGTAGGTTCCCTCAATATTCGGTCTTAGAGCTGATGAGAGGAAGAGTGTATATTTCACTTTGATGAAATATATCACTTTCGATTCTTGTTTCCTTTGAGAAATAAGAATTTCACTATCTATTCTCGTTTTCTTTGAGAAACAAGAATATAGAGGTTGACTTGTGTTTTTGTGACAACAAAAGCCAGGGCTTTCTTTCAGGTGATATCGCTTCTGCGACGGTGGACGTGACTCTGCGCCCAATAATTGGTATCAGAGTTGTTATTCAGATTGTGAGTGATGTAGCTTCTGATTTGAGGTGGTGCTCGGCAATTTCCTGAGAGAAGCGGATTTATTAATACAAGCGGAGAATGACGTCAACAAGTAAAACAGTTAAAGTGGGAAAATACGAATTGAAAAATTCAATGGGAAGAATGATTTTTCTTATTGGAGGATACAGATGAAGAACTCTTTGATTTCGCAGAAATTGCACAAAGCTTTGGCGGGAATTAGAAGAAGCACAAGGATATGTCGGATGAGGATTGGGAAGAGCTGGATCTGGAAGCACGGGCGTCGATTATCCTTTGCCTTGAAAGGGCTGCGGGCGTGTGGTTGAAGTTAGAAAGCACCTTCATGACGAAGAGTCTAATGAACCGGATCTATTTGAAATCCAAATTGTATACTTGCAAGATGGAGGAGGGCTCATCAATCCGGGAATACATCAACAAGTTTGATAGGATTATATCGGACCTGAAGGACATCGATGTAACTGTAGAAGACGAGGATCAGGCTCTTCTATTACTTCTATCTCTGTCGAAGTCTTATGAGAACCTGGTGCAAACACTGATGCTTGTGGGAGACAATTTGACGATGGATGAGACTAGAACGATGCTTCTAGCGGATGACCTTCGGAAGATTACAACCAGTGACATGACTACTGGTGGTAACAAAGAACAAGCGCAGAGATTGTTTGCTAGAGGAAGGAGCAATGAGCGAGGAAAAGGCAAGGGAGGAAAGTCTAGATCTAAATCGAGACCTCTTGCGGGAAGAGCGTTCAAGGTCGACTGTCCTAACAAGAGAGTAGGTGGGAAAAAGAACAACAAGACCGAGAGAAGAGAAGGCAAGAAAGAGGCGAGTTACGCATCGGAGGAAGGGAGCGAGAAAGAATGCTATGTTGTTACGGGTGACGAAGATATCTCCGGTACGTGGATACTTGATTCGGGCTGCTCTTATCACATGTGCCCAAATAGGAAGTTGTTTACTACCTATAGAAGCATTGATGGTGGAACCGTATTGATGGGGAATAACCATGTTTGTAAAACGGTTGGGCTCGGTGATATAAAAATCAAGATGCATGATGGAGTGATCAGAACCCTAACGGACGTGCGGCACATTCCCGACTTGCGGAAGAATCTTATCTCAGTGGGTGCATTGGACTCCGATGGCTGCAAGATTGTTACTGAGAACGGAGTGAAGAAGGTTGTTCGAAGTTCCCTAACAGTGATGAAGGGTGTTTGTCACTGTAATCTATATACTCTCTCAGGTACGACGGTGACAGGAGATGCAGCGGTTGGAACTGAAGGAAGTGATGGAGACCCATGTGAGCACACACGGTTATGGCATAGGCGGCTTGGGCACATGTCAGAGAAGGGTCTAGTTCTGCTTGGTAAGGAGGGTTTGCTGAAGAATCTGAAGAAACCTTGCATGGATTTTTGTGAGGATTGTGTGT